GGGTTCAGGCAATTCTCCTGCCTCAGCCTCCTGGGTAGCTGGGATTACAGGCACGCACCACCATGCCCAGCTAATTTTTTGTATTTTTAGTAGAGACGGGGTTTCACCACGTTGACCAGGATGGTCTTGATCTCTTGACCTTGTGATCCACCCGCCTCGGCCTCCCAAAGTGCTGGGATTACAGGCTTGAGCCACCGCGCCCGGCTTAACTTTCTTAAAAGCAAGAACTCAACAAGCCTTTAGTCTTAATGTTTAAACCTTATTGTTATTCATTACTAGCTGTCTTTTGGAAAAGTTAGTTTAAATTTTGGACCAAATTAGGGTGATTTGGCTTGGAAGATCTCAACTGTTTGGCATTATGAATCTGTACATGGCTAGTTACATTTTAGAATAGACTAGGATCTTAAGTGTAATGCCTACAGGGTAGACAGTTGTCTCTTATTATTTAGAAGCTGGCTTAGGCAAGAAGCTGAATTGGTACTAAAAGTCATTAATCAAACAGCTCAATGCTATGCCATGGTGATGTCTGGAGTTGAACAGAGTGTGATTTCCTTAGTATAGCAACCTTGTCATCCTCTTAGCTGGTTATGGATAATGAAGTAATTGGTCATTCTGCTTGTAAGCACATTTGAAGTCTAAAAATCTCAAGAACAAAAGATACGGAGAACATAACTAAGAGGATATGTAAAGTTCATGTGTCATTGTCTGATAGGAAAAGTTCCTCCTTTATAAAATAAGGAGCTGAATCAGATGATTCCTTAGGATTCTTTCCTAATTCATTAAGAGCATGGCTTTGATGTATGACAGACTTAGGTTCAGCAGCTGGCTGTGTGACCTCAAGCAAGGCATAGCTTCTTTGGGTCTGCTTTTCTCAGCTGAAAACAAAAACAAAAACAGGTATACAAGTAATACCTAACTTCCAAGATTGTAAGTACTAATTAAAAATTATGTATATAAAGCATTTGGCACAGTAGTTAGCACTGAGTGTTATTAGCATTCTCTATTATTTTCTGTTTATATTTTTACTTGAGTATTTATTTGGATATAATACTTATAGTAAGCACTTTATGGTTTACAGAGATAATCTAAGTGAAGAATAGAATCTTGGACAATTAAGACAGGTATGAACTAACTTCCCACCCAATACAGATCTTTGGCAGATGGTGATTCAAACTCTGCTTGAATATGTCCTGGAACTACAAAAAAGAAAACAAAAAATCAACAACCTTATCACCCATTGTTAATTTCTGATGTATGCTAGTCCAGACTTTTCCTATACATTTATACATTTTTTAAAATCAAAATAAAACTTTTTCTATGTTACATATTTTTAATAAGGTTATAACATTATCATGTTTTTCTCCTAATGTATTTTGCCATCAATGAGTATAGGTCTGTCTACAGTGTCCTTTGTATTGACTATATAAATTCATTCTGTGACTTACCATAATTTAACCAATACCCTATTTTTTTTTTGTACATTTGTACATTTATTCATTAAACAAATACTTTATATAGAGTGCCTTCTGTATGTCAGATGCCATTCTAGGAATTTGGTCTCAGTCTGGAACAGGATATATGTCAGATAACCTAAATTCTGAGTTTTTGTTTGTTTTATTTTGTTGGTTGGTTTAATGGAAACATAATAAGGAAGAAATCACCTGAAATCCCACCAGTCTACAATAGGATCTCTCTTTGATGACATTCTCATACCTCCCTCTTTCTCTCCTTCCCCCTTTCTCTCTCTCTCTCTTTCCCCATTCCCCGTGTGTGTGTGTGTGTGTGTGTGTGTGTGTGTATATACACACCTTTTACTTTTTTCTTTTGGCTACTCTGTAATAATATTACAATAGAAGTCTCCTTAGGGAGACTCTTTACAAGTGTCCTTTACTAATCAGTCAGCTAAGTTTGGGCCAGAGACCATGCATGTTTTCAAGCCTTTGGGTGAGGACTGCCCTTGATCTCTAGAAAAAAGATATCCATTTGCACCTTAGTATCTGAGAGCACTGATTTCTGTAATCTCTGAGCAACACAATTTTTTAAAACTTGCCAGTTTGGTATGTTTGCCTGATTTGTAAAGGAACTAAAAGCACCCTTTTTGACCTCTGCAGCAGTTAAAAGTACACCTCACAAGACCCTCTCCTCACCCTTTCCTAGTGCTTAAGCCTTCCCAAAGATGATGTGCAGCATTTCAGTAATAATGGTAAGAGATGTTACCATAGTAACTTGAAAAATGAAGAACTTGGTCTCATAGTGGGTAACAACCACATTGTACTACACCTCTTCGCTAAGCCCTTGCTCTTCACAATAATGACTAAACTCAACATGGATATATTCACACTATTCTCTCCAGTCCTCCCTTTGTCTAACCTTGAAATGTTAGACTTGAAGATTGATGAAAACAGGATCATATCCTAAAGCAAGGCCTATCTTTGGATTACTGTGTCTTTCACAGGTCTGATGTGACCTCTGATGTGATGGAAAAAATCATGATCCTTATTTTACCAGTGAGTATAGGTGCTCAGAGGTTAAGGAAATCACCCTGATCCAATAGCTGGTAACCTGTGATGTGAGTCTAGGTCATTAGAGTTGAAGCCCAGTGTTCTTTGGGCTACTAGTTATCCAGTATAAACATCATGTGTTTGTAGTTATAAATTCATTTAATGCATACTTAGTGAAGGGCTGTTATTTACAGGGAAAAGCCCTACTGTTGATAATTTATGTGTGAATCAGACCCTTTTTTAAATATGAGAGGTTGTTTGATTTATCACTTACTGAGGGCATACTATATGCCAACTATACAGAGTAGTCAGAGATTAGGAGTAAGTCATAGACTCTTTCCTCAAAGAGCTTACAGTCTAGTGGATATAAGTATATACGCCATAAAAATATAAATTGAATACTCAGTGGTTTGATGGATATTCCAAGATGGTTTTCTAAACGGTACATGTGTGATTATGCCCAGTATTTATTTCTTTAGCTCTTAAAAACTGCTAGATATTCCATCTGTGTCTATTACGGTGCTTTTGATAGCAAGTAATAGAAAATCCTCATAAGGAAAACTCACATAGCTGGAAGTCCAGTTTGAGTCAGCTCTAGATGTGGTGATATCATAGGGTCACTGATTTCATCCAAGACTCAAGTTATTTTCATCTCAGAGCTTTCTCGTCCAGGACTGATGAAGCCAGTCATGTGCTTTCTTGTTCAAGTCCAGCAGAAGAGAGAAATTATTCCTTGGGTGTAGACTCTTAGTCCCTTTTTTTAAGGTCTGATTGAGCCAAATAAGGTTATATGTATTTTTATGGACCAATAATAGTTATCAACAGAATACCTTATGCTGATTGGCTTACATAAGATCTCTCCCCACCCCCAACCCCCTGCCCTGCCCCACTTTCGTTAGATCCATGTGTAGGTTAGATATCTGGACAAAACAAATTCTGTCACAATTGAGGAAGAGGTATATGGATATTGAATAGACAGTTTTCCACTAATCTTATTCACCTAACAGGTCACCCTAAACAGTCAACTTAAGTTTATAGGAGGAATTCCTCTCATAGTTGACTCAAGCTTTGAGAGAAAATTATTGGTAGAGCATAATAATTCCAATGTTCAGTTTTTATAGAATAAAACAATTAGCAGATGTTCAGAGAACTGTTCTCTGAAGAGTTGTCCTTAGGGAGATCTGAATTAGTATGCTTTCAACTGCAAGCACTAGAATACCCAACTACACTGACACAGCAGATACAGAAGAGTAATTTGTCTCCCTGTTAGGAAGTTTGGAGATTAAAAACTCCAGGTTTAAGACTGGCTCAGTGGTGCTTTCAAGAATTTAGGCTTGGCCGGGTGTGGTGGCTCATGCCTGTAATCCCAGCACTTTGGGAGACTGAGGCTAGAAGATTGCTTGAGTCTTGGAGTTCAAGACTGGCCTGTGCAACACAGTGAGAACCTGTCTCTACAGAAAATAAAAAAAACATTAGCTGGGCATGGTGGTACATGTCTGTAGTTTCAGTTACTTGGGAGGCTGAGGTGTTGAGCCCAGGAGACTGAGGCTGCAGTGAGCCGATATTGCACCACTGCATTCCAGCCTGGCTGACAGAGCAAGGCCCTGTCTTAAACATATAAACCAACCTAGGGTTGTTCTATTTTTCTGCTCTTTATCCTTCTCATCCTTAGGCTATCATATCTCATGACTGTGGTAACTTCAAGTATTACATCATCACACAACTGTTCAAGCCTGGATGAAAGGTAGGCTTGCTGTCTATCACAGAATATCCTTTTTCCCAGAAGCTCCCCTACTTACTTTCTCTTCCATTTCAGTGGTCACATGCCTACTCTTGTGCCAGTCACTAACAAGGGGAATAGATACTGTGCTTGGCTTTAACCAATCTTAGTTCAGGCTATGGCAACTTGGGGAGAGGCCCACCTTCCTTAACATATTGCACAAGCAAAATTAGAGTTGCATAAACTAAAGAAAAAGGGGAAATGGCTATGGGAGACAACGAATAGTGTCTGCTTAAGATCAGCTTGACACTTTGTGTCCAGAGCATAAAATTATGCCTCTGTTCTGTTTTAGTATCTTTATTAGGAAAGCATTAACCTCAAG